CTGTTCTTGTTAGCGTCCATGTTGGGTTGACTAGGTCAGATGATGTACTCAGACTAGGTCTCATCTCATATCATCAACCTACTTTATGTTCGGCACAAACACTGAACATCAGTGTCTCCCTCTCTCTTTCTCTTTCTCTCTCTCCCTCTCTCTCTCTCTCTCTCGCACGCGCTCTCTCTCTCCTCTCCACTCCTCTTCTCTGTCACGCCCTGGCTCTGGGGACTCTCGTATGTTGAGCCAGGGTGTTTATTTTGTTTAGGTTCTAGTCGTTGTCTATCTATGTTGGCCTGAGTGACTCCCAATCAGAGGCAACGAGTGTCAGCTGGTTGTCTCTGATTGGGAGCCATATTTAACTGTCTGTCTTTCACTTTGTGTTTGTGGTTTCTTGTTCTGATTTGTGTTATACTGTAGACGTCACGTTATCGTTTTGATCGTGTGATCATTCTAAATAAATATATAATGTTCGCATTCAGCGCTGCGCCTTGGTCTCTCCCTGACGATCGTGACATTCTCTTCTCTTCTCTTCTCTTCTCTTCTCTTCTCTTCTCTTCTCTTCTCTTCTCTTCTCTTCTCTTCTCTTCTCTTCTCTTCTCTTCTCTTCTCTTCTCTTCTCTTTCTCTACTTTTTTCTCTGTTTATAAATTGGATGATGGATTATCGTCCATAAAAGGACTCAGTCTTTAATCCCATATGTTGTATGCCTACATCAACAAAGGCACTTGCAAAAGATCAGTGTCCCAGTGACCCACAACCATTATTTATTTCCTATGATTATTAGGAACAGGTAATGGAACTCTGTTCATGATCAATATGACCTACAGCAACTATTATGCTCATACAGATATATTAGACATATTTCAGAAATGTCACCTGATTATAGCCATGCTAGGTGCATTGTGAGACATTGATAGATGGCTGAGCTATTGTCTGGATAATGAGAAGTAAGAGAATTGCTGAACATTTACATATGATACTAGTGTGTTAGGTTATGCAGATAATTATTCTCTCAGAACATTTTCTCGCCTGTATTATTCAAAACAAAAGTGTTACCTACCTTCCGGTGTTGTTCACTTTCAACGTCACAGAGGAATTGTCAATGACAACCCGATGCAGCTCTGCAACAGGGCAAGTCATCTAAAATAGTATTGTATAGAGAGGCTACTTACTATAACTGGGGGGATAGGCAGTAGCTTTAGTTTATAGTCCTTTCTCTTTAACGAGGAGCAAGGGGTAGTACAGGTAATGGCTTGCCAGTCTCCAGTACCTAATTGTTGTGGATGAAGGAGGGAATGTTGTACATGAAGGCTTCTCTACTATTTTAATGAGGGCGTAGCAGGCTGTGATTAGCATTGGGAAATGGCAAGCTCCAGATGTTGCCAGGTGTAGTGCTCATTAGCACTCTCAGGGGGAGTGGATGTGACAGCAGTTAGCGTTCAGATGCTACAGTTAGCAGTGGGAGGCTAACCTGGAGTGGGTGATGTAGAACAGAAATCCCTAAGTCCCACATTCCAGGCCAAGATTCACAGTTCTGTTCATGATGGCACCCCCCCTTTACAAGCCTTCATGAGAACAAACAAACTGCTATTTTCTTCGCCTATTACGACTTTGAGTGGCCCTGAGGTGGTCAGAATTTTCTTCTGGTTGTCCTATGTCATTAAAAGGGGTATAATGGGTATTTTGCTGCTGATAATGGGGATAACTGCTGATAGTTAATTCAAGAGTCTCTCTATATACAACCATTAATGGTGCCCCTCTTAGATTCATTTGGATAGGATAACCAAATAATGTTAATGACAGGTTGCAGGAAAAACATGAACAGGAAGCGACTGACATGCGGGGACAGCTGGAGAGAACCAGCAAGGGGTTGCAGCAGTCTGAATTGAGGGAAATAACACAACTGCAACGAGCAAACCCACAAACTAAATATTCCCATTCAAGAACAGCTTGATAAAGCATCACAGAAATATGGCGAAATTAAAACCCAACTTGAAGAATCAGACAACCAAGCTGCCCAAATGAGCCGCAAAAATCAATACCGTTGAGGCATCTTTGAGCAATGCTCTTAAGGAGAGTTAATCAAGAAAATATAGGTTAAAGACAACCTGCTCCTCGACGCGACTAGAGTTGGAAGAAAAAAACACAGAACTCTTGGAGACTGCAGACCACCTGCAGGATGAGAATAACCAGGTAAGAAGCCTGGAGAAGGACATTCCTAAACAACTAGGGGACATTCCTTTCTTGAAAGCAGCACTCCATGAACGAGACACATCCTTGCTAAATGCACAGGAAAAATATGAGTCCGAAAAGAGCATCTGTAAAACTTATTAATATAGCATGGAGTACTTAACTATCCAATTGGACTCCCATAGATGGATGTCCTTCAGGGTGGATTCTCACCTTCAGGTGGCATCCCAATGGGACGGCCAGACACACAGCCTGAGCGTTATACGTACGGGTTGAAGGACAACGGAAGATTCAAGTCTTCCCCTCGAGCAGGTGACCCACTCTCTTTTCCTCCTGGCCACTCGGCCCAGAGCAACGCTTTCCCCTTGGCCATTCAGGCTCAGTCGGCACTTCTCCTCTTGGCCTCTCGGCCCCAGACTTTACTCCTGGCAATGCCATTCCTCGCCACAACATGCCCGGGAAGCTCAATGACACGGAGGCATACTTGGCTGATCTAAGTGATGCCCTTGACAACCATCCTGAGGCCACCGATGCAGATAGGGTTTACCTGCTGAAAAGCACGTCCAATAGGCATGTTAACTTTGTCCGTTGTCCACATGGCCACGGATTTTCTGGTTCTGCGATTCCCAGACATGACAGCTCTCTGGCTCACACAATCAAGCAGGCTAGGGTAGAACATCCTCAAGCGTACTACCACCGTCTCCGTACAGCCTACTTTGGTAACCTCACTGAACCAGGCATGGAAGAACTCTTAACGTTTACACATGTAGGGTGGCAGGTAGCTTAGTGGGTAAGAGCGTTGTGCCAGTAACCGAAAGGTCGCTGGTTCTAATCCCCGAGCCGACTAGGTGAAAAAGCTGTGCCCTTAAGCAAGGCACTTAACCCTAATTGCTCCTGTAAGTCGCTTTGGATAAGAGCGTCTGCTAAATGACTAAAATGTAATGTAAATGTATCCCACCTACATTACCTTCCTAGGACCAACGGCTCATGCTGCAAACTCGCCAGTACCTCTTAAAATGCCTCAAAGGTGAGCCACGCTATGACCCCTGACCCCTCTGTGTTCGCTGTTCAACATGAACGTTCCCTTCAATTAGAAGCACCCACACAACAGACAGGGAACGTGGCCGCCCCCAGAGATTACTAACCTGACTACCAACCGCAATAATTCCAACTCCCCCACCAATCGTGGCTGGCGTAATAATGACCGATACAAGCAAAACAGGTTGTACGACAGCCAACCTAATAACAAACACCCTGCTACCCACTCATACAATGGGTCAGACCAAAAAGGTAACAAAACATGGAATGGGGACGCAATGCTGAGCATAGCCTCTGTGGTGGAATTGCTCAAATACATAAAAAGATGCGAACAGCTCGGGGAAAACAGGAAAAACCAGTCACTATGACTAGGCATAGAACAGGCAGTACATAGTAGTAATGTTACCGACATTACGGCTCCTGCCTCCACTCCACTGGATGGTTAAGCTTGTCTGTCTTAACCATCCAAACAAATACTAATGATGCGCCACAACCCTATGAAACTCCCCCGCTCCCCCACTTGTTGGGGATATGACAAGAAAGAAAAAAAACTCTAAGAGACCTTGCGACAGTCCTTGAGGAATGTCTGCCCTGTGAAGCCTTGAGGCTCGACCATTAAAAGTGTTGTCAACCTGGCGAAACATTGGTTAAAGGTGGAACGATGTGACACTAAACTTCAAGGTTTACTCAAACAACCTCACCTTTCACAACGCAGCTTCTCCTAAAACTAAAAATGTCCCTTATTCACCCAGTGTACGTTACCAGCCTGGACACCGAGCCACTGCTACTTGGTCCTGTTGATGGACTGGACTAAGTAACAAGTGACAACACCTGCTCCCCTAACCTTACCACCTTCCCAAAACAATTGGTGCAACACTGTACTCCACAGTGGAGAACTGCCTTCAGCTACTCAACCACCCCATGACACCGAGCCAGACACAAACAACTCCCCACTTGGACACTCAGTCACTCCACTGCCCCTGATGGCGGACGAGAAATTGTGGACTTCCACTCAGTCCCTGAACAAAAATGAGGCTTTCCTGTGTTCTATGGATGCAAGTCGACAAGTATTGCCACCGGCTGGTGGGCGGCGTCAGCCTCAATGACAACGATTGAGGATGCCGTCTTGGCTGGTCCTTTCCATGACCATGGCACCCTGCTCACACACTCATCCCACCCCAAACTTGTGCATGACCTATTGGTTTATGTCCCGGATACCGACACCACTCACAGGTGGGTAGTCCCCAAGACACAACGGGGGGGTGATAATAGCCCATGCACACGATGAGCTGTGCGGAGGCCATTGGAGGTCATGGCTACATGTGAAGCCTTGCAACTAGTGGCCCACTGGCCACACATGGAACAGGATGTGGCACAGTATGTAAGGGGATGTTTAATCTGTTGCCTGTTCCAACCTTCCAAACCGCTTCACAAAGCACCCTTACAATGCAAGGGTGTATCTTATACCTGGAGCAATACAGATTAGGATGGGATTCCTCTGGCTGATCCTGGCACTCTGCGTCTTTGTCAAATCCAACCAACCAGATGTACTATTGAGCGGACCCCCAGCGGGTATCGTCCTGCACGACGATCCAGGACTACTAATCACCAACTGTAGAACACACACTCAGAGAGCCTGGACACTGAGAACGTGTACCGCAAACACATTCCCACCAGCGCACACCTGAGTTGGGCCTGGTCTGATTGGACCAGCCAGGTAGTTAAGCTCACCCAGTTAGACAGCTCATATGTTGACACAATCAGAAATTGCAGAGCCCAATGGCAGAAGCGATTCATTGGAGCCTTAATGTCAATAGGAGCAGTGGTAGTGCCAATACCCTCTTTAGGTACCACTGCCGTCAACGCAGTCAGGCCACTGTCAAAAAGAATGTTAGAGAACTAACGGATGAGATGCCCCTAATCCAACAACAGATGAAGGCCCAGTCACTTAGGCTGCAACATGTGGGAAAGACTTTCCAAGACACTATTTTAGTGGTTAACACGCACACTAATCTCTTTAACAGAACCCTCCTTTCAGTAGGAAAGTTGGTAGAGGTCATGAATTATGATTATGCCCATGTGCAATTGGTAAGGATGTTGATCAAAAAAATAAATAACAATATTGGTCGCATACACATTTAGAAGATGTCATTGCAGGTGTAGGGTAATGCTTATGTTCTTAGTTCCAAAATGCATTCATATCTAACAATACAAAACAATACACGCAAATCTAAAAAGTAAAATAATGGAATTAAGAAATATAGGAATATCAGGACGAGCAATGTCAGAGTCTGGAATATAAATATATATTTTACATTTTAGTCATTTAGCAGACGCTCTTATCCAGAGCGACTTACAGTTAGTGAGTGCATACATTTTGTCATATTTTTTCATGTATATGATGGACACTACATAGATAGAAAATGTAGTATATCTGTAGAATATGTAGGATAGAAGAGTATGTACAGCAATAGTTAAATATACCCCACCCCCTCTGATGATCCCGCAGGTGAAGAAGCCCACCCACTGGGGAACCAGGCCCAGCCAATCCAGAATGAGTTTTTCCCCACAAAAGGGCTTTATTACAGACAGAAATACCACTCAGTTTCATCAGCTGTCCGAGTGGCTGGTCTCAGATGATCCCGCAGGTGAAGAAGCCGGATTTGGTTGTCCTGGGCTGGTGTGGTTACACGTGGTCTGCGGTTGAACGTACTGCCAAATTCTCTAAAACGACGTTGAAGGCGGCTTATGGTAGAGAAATGAACATTAAAAACTCTGGCAACAGCTCTCTTGGACATTCCTGCAGTCAGCATGCCAATTGCACACTCCCTCAAAACTTGAGGCATCTGTGGCATTGTGTTGTGTGACAAAACTGCACATTTTAGTGGCCTTTTATTGTCCCCAGCACAAGGTGCACATGCCTGTGTAAAGATAATGGTGTTTCATTAGCTTCTTGATATGTCACACCTGTCAGGTGGATGGATTATATTGACAAAGGATAAAATACTCACTAACAGGGATGCAAACAAATTTGTGCCCAACATTTTAGAGAAATAACCTTTTTGTGCGTATGGAAAAATTTTCTGGGGTCTTTTATTTCAGCTCATGAAACATGGGACCAGCACTTTACATGTTGCGTTTATATTTTTGATCAGTGTTGGATAGGCCTTGACTAGAATACAGTATATACAGTGGGTAAAACAGCATGTAAACATTATTAAAGTAACCAGTGTTCCATGACTATGTAGATAGATAGGGCAGCAGTCTCTAAGGTGCAGGGTTGCGTACCGGGAGGTAGCCGGCTAGTGACAGTGACTAAAGTTCAGGGCATGGTACTGGGCGGAGGCTGGCTAGTGGTGACTATTTAACAGTCTGATGGCCTTGAGATATGAGCTGTTTTTCAGTCTCTCGGTGCCAGCTTTGATGCACCTGTACTGACCCTGCCTTCCAGATGGTAGCGTGGTGAACAGGTCTTGGCACGGTTGGCTGAGGTCCTTGATGATCTTCTTAGCCTTTCTGTGACACCGGGTGCTGGTGATGTTCTGGAGGTAGGGCAATGTGCCCCCAGTGATGTATTGGGCAGACCGTACCACCCTCTGGAGTGTCCTGCGGTTGCAGATGGTACAGTTGTCGTACCAGGCGGTAATACATCCCGACAGGATGCTCTCAATGGTGCTACTGTAGAAGTTTGTGTGAGTCTTATGGGCCAAGCCAAATTTCTTCAGCCTCCTGAGGTTGAAGAGGCGCTGTAACGCCTTCTTCACCACACTCTCTGTGAGGATGTACCATTTCAGATTGTCAGTGATGTGTATGCAGAGGAGCTTGAAGCTTTTCACCTTATCCACTGCGGCCCCGTCAATGTGGATGGGGGCGTGCTCCCTCTGCTGTCTCCTGAATTATCAGCTCCCTCGTTTTTTTTTTACATTGAGGGAGACGTTATTTTCCCGGCACCACTCCGCCAGGGCCCTCACCTCCTTCCTGTAGGCTGTCTCATCGTTGTTGGTAATAAGGCCTACCACTGTTGTATCATCTGCAAACTTCATGATTGTGTTGGAGACGTGCGTGGACAGGCAGTCATGGGTGAACAGGGAGTACAGGAGGGGGCTGAGCACACACCCTTGTGGGGCCCCTGTGTTGAGGATCAGCGTAGCAGAAGTGTTGTTGCCTACCTTCACCACCTGGGGGCAGCCCGTCAGGAAGTCCAGGACCCAGTTGCAGAGGGCAGGGTTCAGACCCAGGGTCTGTGGCCTTAAACCCCTAGCCAGCGATGAGTGCTGCCATGCAAGACTGACAACTCAGGATGATGTGACTACCACTCAAGTGGAGGTGGTAGGAGACAAGTGGCTTGTTAACACACCATTCACTTCCGCTACCATGACCTACGACCGTCATGGCTCAATCACCCAACTTGCCATTCCAAACCAGACAGTCTTTGTTAGTGTGCCAGAGTGTGCAATTGTCCACATAGACGATCTAGCTCTGTACCACCTCCACGGGGATAGACAGGACACTGAGATCGAAATTCCTGATGCCTTTGCAAAACGCACTCTTGAATTGGCACCTACAATTCAAGACCAAATTCTCTATGAGGGACCAATGGTCGTTGACCTTAGTCTACTTGATGATGGCCTGGTAATCAAACCGGCTGACTATAAGCCCAAAGAATGGTCCGTCGCCCGCTCGTGGACAATCACTGACAGTATTTTGACCACTACCATTATCCTTGGTTTTATTGCCCTTGGCGTGTGCTCTTACTACATACATAGGAGCACACGCGCAATGGAGGATGTAATAAGGACTTATACTAGAATCACTAGTGCCATGTCTGAGTCAATACCAATCTTTGGTCCACTGGCGTTGGATCCCGAGACCCCTATAAACATTACAGCCGCCGCTTCTCCAGCTGCTTCCATAGAGGTCCAAGTCAGCCTTGTAGATTCCCTAAACTGATGCCCTAGGGCCTTTTTGACCTTATAAGTAATCTACAACTTATACTAGTGCCTTAAAGGATCGTTTTTGGGTGGAATTGTTCTTTAAACAACACACCATTGAATTAGGATTGCCCTAGGTAGGACACCTTAAACAAGTGTCCTAATAGAGTCATTTAGCCAAAGGTATGGACGGTATACTAATGTCCGCTTAGATAGTTAAGTTGTGTTAACCAGAATTAATGTGTTTATTTACCTAATTTTGTAATCTTTCTGCCATGAATAGTCTTCCAAACAACCACAAATTATGTGCCACAGCGTCCACTCATAGGAAAGGAAATGTAATGGAGTATTGCTTGAATGTCATGTGCCATTGACTTTGTCACCAAGTTACTGCCTAGGTCAGGGATGGGCAACTCTGATGGGGGTGGGGGCCACAAAAAATCTGAACCCATCATGAGGGGCCTCAGTTACTTGTAGGTCTGCGTACCCACATCCATATAGTTATGGACTTTTCAGTGGTTAGCTTTCAGATGCTATATTGTTAGCATTAGCAATGGGGCTAACGCTGGTATGGCTTTACAGTATGCCACATACTACGACAATCTCCAATGGATTAGATACAGTAGTACCTACAAGGCCTACTTCTGCCATTAGCTTTTTGTGTATAGTGAAATGGGGCACAGGATCTCATAGTTAGAGGCTTCAGTTAGAACTCAGATGTTAGCCCCATTGTATCCCTATGCCAAATGCTACTTTCACTGCAATTGTGCCAAGGGAATTGGAGTAAGTAGCTATCTACAGTAGGTAGCGGTCTGAGGCTACAGGGGTCGCTAACCCCACTGCATCCGCAAGCCATGTGCTGACTTCCATTAAGCTCAAATGACTTGATGAATTAGATTAAGGCCATGGTCCATGCTAGTCACTAGTTTTAGCATCGTTGATGCGTCACAACAGTATGTCATTGCCGACATGCAAAGCCAATATCAAAACGTTCCTGCCCAGATTTCCCTCATCCTGACACACGCACACACACACTTTCTCTCTCTATCTCACTGAATCACCCTGCCAATAGCCAAATAACTGCCATGCATCAATGACAACAAGTCACAATATCTCTCTCTCTCGCTCTCTCTCTCTCTCTATAAAGCAACTATTATACTTTTCAGTTCATGTTGCTCTGTTATTAAAAAGCTGACACGTTTTGACTGTAGTCTTTTTCAAAGCTTCCATATCTCTGTCTGCTAAACTTTCAATTTTCCCCACATACAAGACCCATTCTCTGGCAGTCTCTCTCCTTATCTAGTCTAGCTAAATGCCCTTTCAATGCAGTTATCTCCCCCTGTGCTCCAGAAGCTGTGATGTGCCCATTAAAAAGGGGTGACCTGTGACTCCTGTCTGGCTTAGGAATTTGACCACCTGGCATCTGTTGCTCCCAATCAGGGATGGAGGGATGTTGATGGAGGGATGCTTTTTGGTGGAGGGATGGATGACAGGATGGATGAAGTGAATGGGGAAGGTTTTTTTGCTTAGCCACTGCTAACCCTGACCCCTCTGGTTTACCCTGGGTAGATCACATCTGGTGTGTGTTCAGAGACCCATCTGGACAGGCATTGGACAGCAGCACTGAGGCTTGGAGGCATGACACTTTAGGAGCACAAGCATACATGGATAATCTCTCTCTCTCCCTTTCACACACAAACACACACACACACACACTACCCACAAAATCAGTGTTAATACAGATTTAATCAGATACAGTGCCTTCAGAAAGTATTCATACCCCTTGACTTATTCCAAATTTTGTTGTGTTACAGCCTGAATTAAAAAATGATTACATCGATTTTTTTTCTCACCCATCTACACACAATACCCCATAATGACAAAGTGAAAATGTTTTTAGAAATGTTTGCAAATGTATTGAAAATGAAATACAGAAATATAAATTTACATAAGTATTCACTCCCCTGAGTCAATACTTTGTAGAAGCACCTTTAGCAGCAATTACAGCTGTGAGTATTTCTGGTCTCTAAGAGCTTTCCACACCTGGATGGTGCAATATTTGCCCATTATTCTTTCAAACTTATTCAAGCTCTGTCAAATTGCTTGTTGATCATTGCTAGACAACCATTTTCAGGTCTTGCCATAGATTTTCAATTAGATTTAAGTCAGAACTGTTACCCAGCCACTCAGGAACATTCACTGTCTTCTTGGTAAGCAACTCCAGTGTAGATCTGCAGCCACCACTATGCTTGAAAATATGGAGAGCGGCACTCAGTAATGTGTTGTGTTGGATTTGCCCCAAACATAACACTTTGTATTCAGGACAAAAAGTTAATTTCTTTGTCACATTTTTTGCAGTATTACTTTAGTGCCTTGTTGCAAACAGGATGCATATTTTGGAATATTTTGATTCTGTACAGGCTTCCTTCTTTTCACTCTGTTAATTAGGTTAGTATTGTGGAGCAACTACAATGTTGTTGATCCATCCTCAGTTATCTCCTATCACAGCCATTAAACTCTGTAACTGTTTTAAAGTCACCATTGGTCTCATAGTGAAACTCCTGAGTGATTTCCTTCCTCTCCAGCAACTGAGTTAGAAAGTATGCCTGTATCTTTGTAGTGTCCCTGGTCTTTGTGGTTGAATCTGTGTTTGAAATTCACTGCTCGACTGAGGAACCTTAAAGATAATTATATGTGTGGGGTACAGCGGTGAGGTAGTCATTCAAAAATCATGTTAAACATAATTTTTGCACACAGAGTGAGTCCATGCAACTTATTATGTGACTTGTTAATCACATTTTTACTCCTGAACTTATTTAGTCTTGGCATAAGAAAGGGGTTGAATACTTATTGACTTGACATTTCAGCTTTACATGTTTTATTAAAGGGGAATTTCACCCTGGGGGAATCTGGGCTTGTTTTCATTATGTTTGAGGCATTTCTAGGACAGTGAGATGTGTTTCACACATAATTGCCATGGAGGAAGGCAGGTTAGGGCTTTGAGCGCTGAATGATACACCCCTTGACAGCTTCTGGTGTGTTGATGGGGGGAGGCAAGATCTAAAAATGAATGTAGTCCTGCTTTAGGGAATGTCGCGAAGGCTCTATATTATACTATAGTATACGTTTGGTAGAGATAATTATTTATTTCAGCTTTTATTTCTTTCATCACATTCCCTGTGGGTCAGAAGTTTACAGACACTCAATTAGTATTTGGTAGCATTGCCTTTAAATTGTTTCACTTGGGTCAAACATTTCGGGTAGTGTAGTGTATGAAGAATTATGACTTGGCTAATGTTTTCAAGTGGAACCTGAGAGGAGGTTTATTCCGTTTTAGAGGGAGCGGTTTTAGAGTGACACACCATAGAACAGGAAGTCTGTTAGGTGTCCTCCTGGGATTGGTCTGTAGGGGAACACCTATATCAGATTACATAGCATATATACCACAGTTGGGAGAAAGGAGGTCAGAATAATCATATTAGAGATGGGGCGATTATTCTCCGGGTATCTGCAGGTATCTGTAAATCGACGCTGTAACCCTTTGTTATGAATAAACCTTTATGATGAAAATACAGCGTCAGCGGGTCCTCCTTGGTCACACAGCATAATTAGCAACGTTTACTCGACACTACAGTAGCCTTCCACAAGCTTCCCACAATAAGTTGGGTGAATTTTGGCCCATTCCTCCTGACAGAGCTGGTGTAACTGAGTCAGGTTTGTAGTCCTCCTTGCTCGCACAAGCTTTTTCAGTTCTGCCCACAAATGTTCTATAGGATTGATGTCAGGGCTTTGGGATGGCCACTCCAATACCTTGACTTTGTTGTCCTTAAGCCATTTTGCCACAACTTTGGAAGTATGCTTGGGGTCATTGTCCATTTGGAAGACACATTTGCGACCAAGCTTTAACTTCCTGACTGATGTCTTGAGATGTTGCTTCAATATATCCACATAATTTTCCTTCCTCATGATGCCATCTATTTTGTGAAGTGCACCAGCCCTCCTGCAGCAAAGCACCCCCACAGCATGATGCTGCCACCCCGTGCTTCACGGTTGGGATGGTGTTCTTCGGCTTGCAAGTCTCCCCTTATTCCTCCAAACATAACGATGGTCATTATGGCCAAACAGTTCTATTTTTGTTTCATCAGACCAGAGGACATTTCTCCAAGAAAGTAGGATCTTTGTCCCCAAGTGCAGTTGCAAACCATAGTCTGTCTTTTTTATGGCGGTTTTGGAGCAGTGGCTTCTTCCTTGCTGAGCGGCCTTTCAGGTTATGTCGATATAGGACTTGTTTTACTGTGCATATAGATACTTTTGTACCTGTTCCCTCCAGCATCTTCACAAGGTCCTTTGCTGTTGTTCTGGGATTGATTTGCACTTTTCGCACCAAAGTACATTAATCTCTAGGAGACAGAATGCGTCTCCTTCCTGAGCGGTATGACGGCTGCGTGGTCCCATGGTATTTATACTTGCGTACTATTGTTTGTACAGATGAACGTGGTACCTTCAGGCGTTTGGAAATTGCTCCAAGGATGAACCAGACTTGTGGAGGTCTACAATTTTTTTTCTGAGGTCTTGGATCATTTCTTTTAATTTTCCCATGATGTCAAGCAAAGAGGCACTGAGTTTGAAGGTAGGCCTTGAAATACATCCACAGGTACACCTCCAATTGACTCAAATGATGTCAATTAGCCTATCAGAAGCTTTTAAAGCCATGACATCAATTTCTGGTATTTTCCAAGCTTTTTAAAGGCACAGTCAACTTAGTGTATGTAAACTTCTGACCCACTGGAATTGTGATACAGTGAATTATAA